TTAATATTAATATATAATAGTACTATTAATTGTTAATGATAGTATAATAAAAACTTATGAAATATTTATAGTACTAAATTATTTAAGAGCATAGTTAAAAAATCAAATTAGATAAAATATAGACAATATAAGTATTTTGATAGTATCATTTGAACTAAGAATTATATTGTTAAATAAAGTAAACGACAGTAAGCCCTCATGAACTTTCAGCATTTCGCTGTAAATAGAACCTATGAACTTTTAAAATCACACTAAACCTGTAATAACTTTGTAGAAAGCTCACATTGTCTTTTAGATAAATTACACCAAACCCCTAATAACTTTCAAAATGCCTTTTTATGCCATTTTTTGGTTATTTTAATTTATAGGGGTTATATGCGAAATTTAGAAATTTGTTAGAGGTCTTCTTGTTAGACCCTAGAGGGGGGTGATTAGGGTCTTATGCTAATCTAATCCGATTAAATGCCAATTAAAATTAATTAACAAGTTGTATTCTTGCAAGATAGATATACAAGAGTTATAAGCAAGAATAAGTAATATACACAAAGTGATATATCCTATATGATGAAATCTATATGCAAGGATATATAAACTAATAAACTAAGGGTGATATAAACATAAACAAGATAAACAAGATAGTGGATAATGTGAACTAAGAGCAAATGACAAAGGCGATATAAACAATAGGCATGAATGTAAAAGAACGCCAATGACAAACTCAAACACACGATATGATCACGGAGTTCGGACCTTCCGTCCTACGTCTCTGCTCCCCACTCCCGGGGAGAAATCCACTATCACAACCGGGTTTTCTACGCTCACCCGAATAACGTTTACACCTCACAATTTCTCTCACGGAGTTCAGTCCCCACGACCTACGTCTCCGCTCCTCACCTCGAGGAGATCTCCACTCACACTCTCACAATGTGGCTACACTCCACCCTCACAATACGGTTTTCTAGCTTCACCGAAAACCTTACAACACTCACAAAGTAAATACAACAAATTTGTTCTCTATAATAGATGAGAACACAATGTAGCTCACTCTCAATTTGTTACAACTCCCCACAACCCAAATTACACTATGAATGTAAATACAATAAGCTCAATAGGTTGTGTGTGAACAAAGAGATATAAATCAAAAAACTAAACTCAATGTAGTTCTAGCTAAATAACAATGATAATCAAATATATAAAAAAAGCTAGAAATAGAGTTTAGAAAACTTCTCAATATATCAAGAGTGGAGGGAGAAGAGTTGGATGCCCAAACACCAATAGATGATCTCCTCAAGCTCTTGTTGAATTGAATCACAAAACCGAAACACTCAATTGCTTAAAAGCTTCTTAAAACAAACTTAAACAAACACTAAACAAGTTTAAACCCTTGTTAAAACCTTTTAAACCATTCTATTAACATCTAGAATTGAATGCAATGAGGGTATATATATCGACCGGACCGGTCGACCGATGACTCTCTGGAAAAATACTGACGAATGGTCAATTGACCGGTCGACCGTACCGGTCGACCGAAAACTGACATTCTAGAAAAATCGGTTTTAGAGCTGATTTTAAAACCCTGTTTAAAAATATCAAATAAATTCCAAAAAATGTAAAACTTTGGGGAATGATTGTAGACATGATAATAAACATGCTACAATGACTGGTTATCAAAAAGGACTTCCCAAATGAAAAATATCATCATTTTACAAACTAGTCCAAAACATGAAAATATGAGATACTTGAATTTTGATGTTTTGACATAAACCAACTTTTGAAACTTTGTGAAATGTTTTTGTAGACTTAGTAAAACATGTATAAACTGATATTGAAGTCTATAAACTAAGAATACAATATTTTCACAAAATTGCATATTCTATGCAATGTTTTCAAAAACATAATAGAAAATATGAAATATAGAATTTCATATATATAACCATAAAAACTCAAAACATATGTATGTATATATATAACTATATATATGCATAGAAACCAAAACTTATATATATATATATATATATATATGACTATATATATATATATATACGAAGAAACCAATAAATGTGTGTGTATAGATAATTGAGCTTAGAGTATATAACACACATAATATAAATCCTAAACTAAATTACCCAAGCTAGATCTTGATCTTCAATAAGCTCTTCTAGGTAATCTCGCGGATGAAGCTTTAACTTGGATCTTGAATTTTGAATAGCAAGGCTTCACCGACATTCCGCCAACCTCCTTTGGATATGATCGTTGAAGCTCTATTCCATCCATCCTCCAACTGCGTTGTTTGTCTACAATACATAGGAATACACAAACACTAGACAAACAACATTAGTAGTAAATTGTTTATAAATCATCATCAAAACAAGAAGGCCAACACTTCTTTGAAATAGAAAAGTCATTAGGGTTTTATTGTAATTCTAAAAGTTCATATAGCTAAAAGTTTATAAGGGTTTAGTGTAATTTACTCTATTAAATAATTATAATGAGAATTAACTATTGCAATATGTTGCGGATATCGAGTATAACTATCTAATGAACATCATGAAAAAGCTAGCAAGATTAATGCAACTTAGTTAATTTAGAGTTAAGTTAACAACTTTTAAGTTAGAGTGGCATATTTAAGAGACTTTATAGAATTTGCAGTTTTATTTAAGAATAATTTTAGATTTGGAGACTTATTTAAAAAAGATTAACACTAGACGATCATTATAAGAAAAACATTAAATTATAATAACTAAATAATACTAATTAATTCATGCATTTCTTTTTAAGCCATCTTATAATACAATTTTATTTATTAACACATAGTTTTACTATTCAAAATAAAAAATTCAAAACTTAAAACATATAAGTTCATGTGCAAAGCACATGCATTATACTAGTTGATAATAAAACTTCAATGAAGAGTCTAATAAAGTGCTATCAAATAAATTAAGAAACATTCACAACATGGTAATTTATTGAAATTAAAATTACTTTACATCACTTAATTGATCAGGGACATACCTCTATTAATGTACAATTTCAAAATAATAATAACATTGATAAGAAATAAAATAAAAAGAAAGAGCATAACTACAGTTTAGAGATGTGAATGTCAATATGCAAAATTTGATTTTTCTTAATATAGGATTTTTATTCACAAATTTGATTATTGGTGTAGGAAGATTTTAGTATTAGCTAGTTTGAGTTCTAGTTTAGGAATATTTGATCCGTAAATTTGCTTTTTTTTTCATGGATAATTCACCTCTCTAAATTTGGTTTAAGTTTAGGGACATATTAATACATTTAAGGGTCTTTAAGATATTAGTCCATTAAATTTTCAACAATTACATATGAATATCCCTCATGTCTTGAAAATTACATATTAGTCTCTTAAATCCTATAGGGTCGTGTAAAATGGTCCGTCTGTTAGTTTTTTAGTTAGAAGGCCTAATCAATGTTGGGTTAACACCTAATCCGATATCTACTATCACCAAACTATCTTTCTCTATTATTAAGCTCAACTTTGTGTTAGAATACTTTTCCAACAATTATAAAGAAGAACTCAAGCTGATCGATTTGAGCTTTTCTAAGCAAAGCCCATTAAGAAATAAGTTGGGCGATATAATAAATGGATAAAACAGTCATTTTGTTAATTTCCGACCGCTTAAATTTAATATAATATTCCCCTATAGGATTTGAGGGATTAATATGTACTTGTTGAGATTTGAAAGACTAATATACAATTGTTGAAGAATTAAGGGACCAATATAAAAAAATCCTACATTTAAACATGAGAGTGAGAGGTGGAGAGAGAGAGACCATATACAGGCCCATCACATGGATGATTGCACGTACGATGAGTCCACGTCTATCTCACTCACTCACTGAAGGTTCTCTTTGGCTCGTTTGCCACAAACCATCAAACATTGTTTTGTGGGAAGAAGCGCAAGTTACACATAAGTAGGTCTATTTTTCTGGTTTTAAGTGACTTTTTGGTTCAAATGCCAAAATTTTGAGGTTTGAAATCTTATAGAGAATTTTAAATTTATAGGGTTTTATACATATTTTGGAATTTTTAATATTTTGTTTGGTTCAGCATTATTATAGGAAAGCAAATTCTATTATTTGCAATATCTTATTTGATTCAAATCTAAACTACAAGATAACAAATTCTAAAAAAGGAGAGGTGAATATTGTTACATTGGATACTTTTTTGAGATCTGCCAAATCCTCTCCAATTGAGAGGATTGACAAATTCTAAAAATTAGATATTTTTTGCATTTTAAGAATTCAACATTCCAATTTTTTTTTAAACAAAAACCAAATAAAAAATCTCAAAACACAAAAAAAAAACTAATGTTTTAATCCCAAAATTTATAATCAACCCCAAAAGTCAAAATTTTACTTGAACCAAACAGCTGCTAACCCCACTTCCTAGCTATTTGTGATGAAATGGGCTCCCCATTTTTGTGCGTCCCTTACACTATTGTCGTTTCTACGACATGGATCCCGCATTACACCATTTTCTCTTTTCCTTTCATGCAACCAAACAAAAAGTAGGAAAAGTATTATAGGAAATCATTTCCTGCAGCACTGTTTTCCCACCTCCTTATTCCAACCAAACGGGCGTTGGACATATTGTGGACCCTACTTACCTCTCTCACTCGCTATTTGTTAGGTGTTGGACGCATCATGGGCCCGGCTTACCCCTCTCTCTCCCACCCATCCTGCAATTTTGTAAGTCTGGGGCAGACGTATTTGGATTATCTCCCCCTTACTTGCAGTAATGAAAAAAAAAATAAACTATGCATGTTTAAAGAATACATGGCTTCATCTCATCCGTTAAGATTAAAACAGAAGAATAGGATTGGAATAATTAAACACTCTTCAATTATACCACTTTTTTTTTGAACCAGAAAAACAGGGAGAGGTTCCCTGTTTATATATATATATATATATATATATATATATATATATTAAAAAAGGGATGGAAAAAATACATGACAAACCAAAAGATGAGGATGATGAGAACCAATAGATGATATGATCGGTGGGGAGCGGACATTGTCGTCACCCACCAAACCAGATCAAGAATGATTCCGAACATCCCATAAAGCGATAGCATACACATCGCTGATTGTTAAACGAGATCAATTATACCACTTAAACGAGGATAATATAAATCCCCATCTATCTGACTCACTCGCTGATTGTTAAGCACTGAACACATCGTCGGCCCCGCTTACCCCTCCCTCTCCTACCTCTCTGCAATTTTGAAGCATAGCGCAGATGAGTTCGGATTATCTCCCTTACTTGCAATAATAAAAAGATTTACTATGTACTTTTCCGTTGAAATTAAAATAAAAAAATATAATTAGATAATTAAATACTCTTTAATCACCGCTTAATTGAAGATGATATGAACCCCTTCTTAAAAGAATCAATCAATCACAGGCTAACAACCATCACCTAGCAGTTGGCACCATTGTCACAAACAGGCGGAAAACAACCGCTAACCATCAATTATAAATATCAATACAAAATAGCTGCATGTACGAAATCCTACATTCATCTCCTACATCCAACCCTTTCAATTGCGGTTTATATCTTATAATCACTGATTTGAACGTCGGATGGTCATGGATTGAGACCAGGGCATCAGATAGCAGTCAAAATTGAGCAGGAACATGCACATTTAGTCAAGTATTTACATCGAAGTAAAATCGTATTCAAAACTGGGGGTTAAAAAAGAAAAACAAAAAATGAAAGGAACTTACTTATTTTGCACCACGGCTGTGTTTTTATGGAAAGGCCATAAATTGACCAAACGTTCTAACACACTTTTGGAGAAATAGCCGGAGAAGGCTTGGGGTGTTGCCGGTGGAAAATCTTCAGCTGGCATCGCAAACGGGCGGATCATCTTCTCCATCTTGTCTAATGTGAGATATGATCCAATTTCTTGAAGTCTCTCTGGTCCATTTATTGGCAGTGTGTGCTCTTGATGCAACATTGCGGCCTCTCCATCGTCATTCTGTTAACAAACAAAAAGAAAATAAAGAAGAAAAGAATATAGAGAACATCGTCATTCTCTCTGGTTCAATTTTTCTGAGGTCCCTTTTTCCATATTAGTCCTGGAATTCTATCATCTCTTTATATGAGACCCTGAAGTCTTCATATTTTTAATTTGGACCCTTCAATCCTTTAAGTTCTTTTAAATTTCACCCCAAGTAAAATTTCGTCTATATCTGTTAGTACAGTGCCGTCAGTCTTAATCATTGCTAGGACGTAACAATTTACGCTAATATGCTTGATTAGTGTGTATGATGTTTCTTGGATTAACTCCTATTCTCTCCCACCCTTCATCTTTTCTCTAAGCAGACTGCCTTACCACTTTCTTTAATGAAATTCAGCAACTGACCTAGAGAAAGAAGAAGAGACCAAAGATCAGCGAAAGAGTGGACAAATTTTCAAAACAAACCCGTTTACAATAATAATCGCAAAAAAAAGACTCATTTCTAACTTTTTTTTCAGAAACCGACCTGGTTTCAGCGCTGCGGCTGAAACCAGGTCGGTTTCTGAAAATAAGTTGGAAATGAGTCTTTTTTGGGATTAAAAGTCCAAAGAGGACTGTTTTGAAAATTTGTCCGAGAAAGAGTCCGTTTAGAGACGAAAGAATGAGTAGGGGAAAAAAGGAATAAAATTAGTGCAGCACAACCTAATCTAGGGTATTAAGGTTTGATCACCACAATAACAGATTTGGACTGAATTTCACTTGAGCTGTAATTTAAACAACTCAGAAGATTTCAGGGTATAAATTAAAAATGAAGATTAAGATACTAATTTTAAAAAATGAAGATCAGGATACTAATAAGAAAAATGAAGATTGGGATACCAATAAAAAAAATATCAAAACGGCTTGTGATGAATTCTCTCAGTAACCATAATAATTGATTAGTTACCTCTAGAGGGCTTAAATCTGCACCACGACTAAATGTCATTTCAATACGAAACCTCTTCGGGTCTTCCAAAGGTACCTGCATTTCAACATCTTAGCTTTTATTGCTAAAACACAAAAGGTTGTCTTAAATCAAAGTGCTATAGCTACAGGAATGATTAAGGTTTATAATTAATATGTGGTCATAGTAAAAAGAAACATTGAGGAGAGAGAAGAATTATCACAGGTTTGGAGTTCAACTCTTTTACATATTCAACGGAATTTTCTCCGCCAATAAAACAAGGTCAAAGTTATCCAAACTTTATCATTCAAAATACTTGCTTACCTCTACATTTTCAAACATCCTCAGAACAATGTAACTCATGTAGTCAAGTTCCCTTGTTTTATGTAATCTCTCCAGACCACTATTGCAAACAAGGCTTTCCTCTCCTTGCAAGGATTCATCCAGGTTACAGTATCGCAGAACATTCATTAAAGAATGTATATGGGATTCCTGCAGAAAATACAGTAGATAAAGTGATTTAGATAAAATGGTAACCGAAAAATATGAAGATTTACTAGAAGCTAACATATACATGAGGGCTTATAGTAAAATGTATTTCTTAGCGAAAAAGAGGAATTTTTAAAGGAGATTTAGTAAGACACACAAATACAACCCACTAAAGTATAATAGGATTGAAAAATGAACCAATCCGAGCTTAGTAGTCTTTCCGAGGAGGCATCCACAGATGGACTCCCGTGAAAAAGATACCTTCTAAAATTCAGAATAAAAACAACAATGATCATGCAGGAAATAGTTTTGAAACTCTGAGAAAGCATGTACACAAGATGCGTCCTCCCATCTATCTATAATAATGTGATAGGTAAACTGGAAAACAAATTGAAATGACAAAAGGAGCCTCACTTTCATGAGAGGGTAACTCATGGGATGAATCAAACAAATAGAAACATAATCCAGTAAACAATATATTCCCATGTACAGTTTGCTTGATTTAAATTCCAGCAAAGGATTTGTTCCGCGAATTGTTTGAACAAAGTTCTGTCAAATATTGAAGAGAATTGCTCGCAAGAAAAATGTTCTTGAAACTACAGGATTGAATCTTCATAAAATTGTACAGTTCACAAATGAAAGCTCTAATGTTAAACCAAAAACCTGGCAATTTATTTGCATCTCAATGGACACCTATGCAAATGACAGCAACTTCTAAAGCACCAATGCGAATCTATAATCATGGATAAATGCACAGTTTGATTGGAGAGGAGAACATGAACCATAAAAAATGTCTGAAACGTATTATATTGAAAGAATATGCAAGTTGAATAAATGCATTAGGGAAAATATACATACAGAAGTGAAATAAAGCCTTGTACGAACATGTCGCCCTGGTGTTTTGACATTAGCATACCTGAAATCAAACAATGATGTTTTAATCTAAGAGAAGTTGGCAGAGAATAACCTTTAAAAGCAAGTTAAATAAAAAACAAACTTCGGATCTAAGCGGTATTTGGTTTCTTTATCTTCATCATCATCTTGCTCCAGTGATCTTTCACTAGTCGAACTAGATCTTCTGTCTTCACTCTTGTTCTGATGTCTAGGGGTATCACCCTCCTCTTTCTTCAAATTAAGGAACAATGAAGTTGGATCTTCATTAGATTTTAGTTCAGCAACGCTCATTGCTTCTTCACGAGTATTACGCAGGTCAATCAAAATCTTTCCCAACAAACGGCGAGCAATCTGATGCAGAGCAGAAAATGATGAGGCAGACAACATGGTGGATGTTCTAGTAGATAAAAGCATATTGGCATAATACATCTAGTTTCCAAATAACATGGTTGTCTGCAGGACGAGCCTCATAAATGCATATTAGAGAAGCTAAACAAAACTTTTAGAACTTTTAGTATATTTCTACAGGACGAAGGTAAGATGCATCTTGGAACCAATTTCATTCAGGAGAATGAATCAATGGCTTCACATAACAAGAAAGAAACAAAGAAGTTTTATGTAGTGGAAAAAGCACAGTTGTTGTGTGGTTATACATGCAGCCTGTTATAGAAGTACTAATTGTGGCGTGAAAAGTCAGTGGACAAAAGAATGCAACTTCAACAATAAAAATCCATGCAAAGTTGAGAAAAAGTGAAAACTAAGTTGAAAGGCGAACAACCAAATGCTTTATCCATTCTGAAGAATAAAATATATGAAGGTGGAAATAGTTTGAAAGAACAAGAAAATTACTGAAAGATTTAATAGGGAATCAGTTTGGCACAAACAATTTTAGTGTTTCATCACTAGAAACTAGTGGCACTGAAGTATGTAAATTACATAAGACATAACTTATAGTTAGGCCTGTCCATCCGGCCCGGCCCGGCCCGGCCCGGAAATCCGGGCCCGGGCCGGGCAAAACCGGAGCCCGGACCCGGACCCGGGTACCCCGGGCCGGGCTCCGGGTCGGCCCGGATTTTTTTCAATTTTTTTCTTTTCTTTTTTTTTGATAAAAAATGCTAAAAATTAGTTTAAATTTATTATATTTTATATAATTATGTATTAGTATATACTTATAAATTATTATGTAACTATATATTATATATATTATATATACATATATTATATGTAAATATATTATATATATTTATAATCTATAACTTGAGAGAGAGAAAATCGCATAAGTAGCCATTGCCCGTTGGGCCAATGGGGAAGAAGTAGCCGTTGTAATATATAAGAACTTCTTCTGCTTCTTTGTTCGAAAGGCATCGGAGTAACAAACCATCGTACCCTCTACGGTATAACGTATGGGTCTCGGTATTATAGAAGAATCTTGGTGCTCTTTGGCGGATTGATTCTCTTTCTTTTACATCCTCTGGCAAAATACAGTATTGGACGTAGTCGATGATAGGAAAGCGCCAATCTCGGGACTCAGACCCAATTTGAGTTGAATTCACCTCTTTGGCGCTCATATTTCTATCATCTTCCTGTTCAATCTCCATACTGTATATAGGTATGCAGAGTTGATGCATCCTCACTGTGACCAAGAGTTCAGTTTCGGGAGGTTGTGCAAGTGATACCGCTAATGCTGCCAGTGCATCCGCATAAGCGTTCTGGAGGCGAGGGATGTATTCGATAAAGAATTCTTCAAAAGATTCTGCCATTCTGATGGCTTCCTGGTGGTATGGGATCAGGTCGGGATTCCTGACTTCATACTCTCCGCGAACTTGGTTGACTATCAGTTGAGAATCTCCAAAAGCTTCGAGATATTCGACCCCCAGCTCCTTGGCAAAACTGAGTCCAATGAGAAGTGCGTTATACTCTGCTACGTTATTGGAGCACGGACTAGTCAATGAATAAGCCCGAGGCATCACATGTTTTCCCGGGGAGATTAAGACAACTCCAACCCCAGAGGAAACTGTAGAACCTCCCGGGGTTATTACCTTATTAACTGCCCTTGAAGCACCATCGAAGTACGGGCGGAGGCCGGGCCGGGCTGAGGCCGGGCCCGGGCCGGCGGGCTTTTTGGACAGCTCTACTTATAGTGGTTTTTCATAGAAACCATTGTTTATATAGGGTGAGAATAAACAAACCAGCTTTAAACTTCAAGTGATGTAGAAACCACCTCTAAAGGGGTTCCTATAGTAATCAACCATCTAGACATATTTTCTTCTGAAATTTCACTTGAAATCTCCAAAATGCCCTTGAAAACACACATGCCAGGCATACATCAGTCTTATTAACTGATCCTGACCTATTTTCCGATGTGTTTCAAGGGCATTTTGGGAATTTCAATCAAAATCTCACCAGAAAGTAGGTCAAGGTGGCTAATTGCTATAGGAACCCCCTTTAAAGGTGTTTTTTTGTATTAATTGAACTTTAAAGATGTTTTTCGTATTGTCATCATATTTTAAAGGTGGTTTTAGTGAAAAAGCCCCAACTTATGTTGACTGCAACCATAATAATTTAATTGTTCTGCTGAACTTTCTCCATTGTTCAAAACTTCTGAAAGTACAAATGTACATGACAAACACCATATACTTCAAGAACACATGAAAGACTACGATAAGTGAATTGCATATTATTTGACCTGGCAGGCAAGTGAGAATCTGCATGCAGAAATGGTGTGTGGCTATGGACTGAGAAGATTCTTTCAAGCTTCTTGAGAGAAGGATTCAATTTGAGGAGGGAAAAAAATGAAAGAGAGACTGAAAAATAAGAGATGAAAAAGACAGGAATATTTGCGCAGTGAATACTTGGAGACTCAAAGTTCTGATCTCTCTGAATATTTTACAAAGTTAATCTCTCTTACAAATCATCCCTATAGTCTCTTGCACATATTAGGCAGTTATTCTGTATATTCATATAGTCAAAGCTTGCTAATAGAAAATCAACCGGGAACATAAGAGTACTAGAATTGCCACTTTACACCTTTCTGCGAATAAGATGCTTATCTACTTCTACTTCCATATTCTAAGTTTATTCATGTCATGCTGGAATTGCAAGAACGCGAAGAGAAGCTCTATCATCACAATGCAATTCCACGGGTTAGGTAGTGAAATGAAGATTTCCTAGTAGATGCTTCGACCACATTATCTCAGATATACTTTATAAAATTGTAGACATAATGTTATTTCGAACTTGGTAAATTCAAAGTACGTTGAACATTTTAAGAAGGTTTGATTATCTATAAATTTTTAGTAAAATTTTTAGGATCAGTATAGCTATATAGCTATACCCAAACAGATATCATATCATACTCCCTTTAAAAGCACGAGTTCAGAAAAATCTTTCGATAGACAAAAATACTCTTGGAATACAAATACTAATCCATTAAGTAAGAGTAAGTTGATATATTGATGAATTCTTATTGGATGTACATAGTATGAATATAAGGATATAGTTTAAATTGAAATGTAAACATGAATGAAATTATTAAATGCCAAATTTATAAATGTCTACAAGATGAAAGGCGTATATGCAAAAACCAAATAAATTAAAAAGAAATAATATCTGCTCCAAAGGTCGAACCCAGGAATAGCGCAGACCTACAAATGTACATAATGTTGACGGGATATTTACAAAATCCGCCAAACAAATTAAAAAGATAAAAGTTATTCTCAAAATTATAAAAACGAAAAAATTAAAACAAACAGTTACGATTTGAGGACACAACGAGGCGATCTCTGACCGACCAAAATTCAAGTAGTTCACGATACTGTATAATTAGTTTTAAAGTTTAATTATACTATTATTATTTAAATAGAACTCCATTTATAATTATTATCCTCTCACATGCAACATCACATACCAATATATATAAGCCAATAAATTACAATAATTTTCATAACACTTTCATCTCCTTCTATAGGTGTGTGCCTTTAGATTAGATTAGATTATTTTAAAGAAATTAATTATATTGTATATTTAATCTTTTTTTATATTAAGAAATAGCAACAATTTTCACAGCACTTTCATCTATTTTCTTCTTATTAGATTAGATTAAATTATTTTAAAGTAATTAATTATATTGTATATTTGATCTTTTTTCATATCACAAAATTTAATTTTATTATTATTATTTAAATAGATACAGTTTGTATAAAAGTCAAAAAGAATCTCACATGTATCTTAGATCTCAATGCCAATTGTAATATTTATATATATGTGTTGGTTAAAATAAATTTCATGTATGAGCTTAACTTATATGATCCTACTTTAACCAATTAGATAATTTAAATTTTTTTACACCCAAACTCTTCCACAAAACCAAAAGAGAGTAGTAATGCTATAGCTATATATGTCCACAGGACCACAGATATCTTAAAAATGAACAAAGAAAACCACACAAATAAAAACCATATTAATTACCCCCACACATCCATTGTTTTCAAAACCATCCTTCTCCATCTTCATTTATAATATATCCACATATCCAAATTAAGCTGCTAGAGTTTCCCTCTCACCAACTACATCATTGATCAGCTCTCATTTTTCTTTTATACTTAAATTGTATAAAATTCATTGTGATGAGGTCTCACCCGAGTCCTCTGCCTGCCTTTAACGCACAATAATAAAATAATGTATTAGGCCTTATAGTTAGTTAATAACGAGATCCTGTAATTATAAATAAATTAAGCAAAGATTAATAATTCTTAAGAATGTACTACGTTCCCCTAGCTTCCACTGTAAACTTGTTAGTTGTTTATTCCTGACTCCAAGATATTTTCAAAATTAATCTTGAGAGTTGCTTGCATTAAAAAAGTTATGTTAGAAGGTCTATACAGTCTGTTTTATAGTTTAAGATTGTCAACATATTTTATCTCTGATGCATATCAGTTATGAGTAATAATATAATTTGATTGATCCAAGTATATCCTAATATATTTCTGGACTCGTCTTATCTTTTACTCTCTATTATATACCAACCTGATTTCACAATTGATATAGACGATGAAGATACTACTATAAAATTATTCAGGAAAAAGATAAAGGTGAAGGATTGATATCGGTTCAACTAAATATGAGAAAAGAAGGAACAAATGATAATATTTTTTTGAATATTTTATAGTAAAACTTAAATTTTTGAGTAAAATTAGAAATCATAGAAGGGATTTTCATGCAAATTTTTTAATATGCTTATGTGAATAATTTTATCATATAAAATTATACTAGAGTCGTCATTAATCTTTAGTATTTGTTTTTTTATTTTAAGTCTATTAATAATTAAGATGTCTTATAGTCTTGTGAAAAGTATGTGCTCTGTGTTGAGCGAATACAAACCATCTTAATATTAAGTATTTGGTTATATTTTTATTAGCACATCAATAATATATCATTGTATTGCTTTCAAACTTAACACTACATTTAATGACTAAGATAAACAAATTGGAGATCGATGATTTGATCCGATAAATAAATAAGTTACATGAAGTTTGATATAATTTAAAAAATAAATGTTGTGTATGCAAGTATATAAAAGTATATTGATCCTAGTTTTACACACAAATCTATTTTATAATTTTTTTAAAATGTTTAAATGAAATTTATGGCAAATGTAATAATCCATGTTTATAGATTTTAGCTCAAAATGAATCTGACTGATTTTATAGTAAGAAAATAAACAGAAAAATAAATAATTTTGATATTTAACCACGTGCATTGCATATGCACAAGAACTAGTAGTCCATGAAATACCCATGTTGGATAAACAGACACTAGGATACTAGGACATCCGGTGATATGTGTCGTGTCCATGGTATAGATCTAAAACATAAATACCTATCCTAGATGTATTGAGATATCACAAGTGAGAAAAGGGAACAAATGTTTCAATGTGGTTCGGCAAAGTGACCTGCATCTACAGGCAATACAGGCAAAAGACGGTCTACTGTATCAAAGGTGGTTAAAAAAAATAAACAAACTCACCAAAACCTTAACTATTTTATCCCAGAGAGAAGCTCTCAGACGAATACTTTAATCATAGATTTCTTAAAGAAACACTCTTAGAAGGATACAGAAAAGTTTTTGAAAGAGATTCTCAGAGGAGTCCTAACGTTAGCTTCAACAGAAAGCCATTGGATCTACAGTCTCTTAGTTTTTAAAGAGTTAAGTTGTGTAACTTCTGATTGACCACATAAAATATGTTCTGGAAGTCAAGGTTACCTTTGAGCCAATTTTGAGCTTATGCTTAGGATTTATGCCGTACTCATTAGGAATAACACCATCTGCCAGTAACTGCAAAGACAGAATACTATGATTAAACATTTTAACTAGTCTAAGTGAAAGAAAAGGAATGTATAACGAAAGACGTTACACCTTCTAAGTGCAGGCTCAGTTAACAAAATGATCGACACAAGCAACTGTTAGAGACTTATATCCTTAATATCCTCAAGTTGAAAGATTTTTCACGTAAATCTTACTGATCTTGCTAACAAATAGAAAATATAATTGCATTTAATAATACAAAAAATAATAATAAACATTAAAAAAAACCAGAAAACTGTTACCTGAGCAACTTTGAAGAGTTCGGTCAAACCATCAAGATTGAGATGTGCATTGTGCAAGAGATCATACCTACAAAGAAGTTTGTGATGTAAGAAGCCATATGCCATGATATAATTGCAACAAAGTACATTATCAAAGAAAAGCACAAGAGAGAATGCGTACAAAGAGGATACTTCCATTTAAAATTCTTTCACGCTTCCGTAACACTAATTATTAGCATTGTATTTGGATTTTGAAAAATAGAACAATAAAATACATTAGTATGGAACGGTTTCATTATTTTTGAATCATAACTTTTGTAAAGAGTTCATCACAGAATAACTTTTTGAATCATTTCTTCCACTAGTAAAGATTTCATTGCATCTAATCCTATAAAATCTACTGTCCCTAGTGGGTAAATTCCAAGAGATGATTTTGTACAAGACATTCCCATGACACTGCAAAGCTTTGTCTTTAATCTTTATTTAGACTTGATCTAGCAGGAAAATTCTAAAGAGTCTCTGCTACGATACCTGACCTTTAGACACATGCTCAATAGGAAGGAAAAGCTACCAGCTAAATGGGCTTCAAGGTGTACTACACAGGCCTTTAATCAATTGTTGATGTTGAGGATGTGAACAGGTCTTACAAATTTGCAAAGAGCTTTCGCAAGTTTGAGATATGCTTCATATCCTACTCCTTTGCTGCGGGAAAATGACTAAGGGGAACGAAAATATACTTCCTAAATTACCATGCTGAATGTGAGCTAGGCGTGTTGATAAACAGTTATTACAATTTTGCAAAGAGCTTTCTCAACTTTGAATCTGTGATACATAATTACATACTTCACAGCCTATCCCTATGATGTGGGAAACCGACAAGGTGGCGTGATGGTCATATAGATAGTCATAATCTTGCTTCCTGACACTTGTATCTACAAAATAGTTGCTTACTAATTTCAGTGTTTTAAACTCATTGCATTGCTTGATCAGATTTTTCCACCAGATCAGGCATCAGAAGAAGAGAGTTACACTATCCTATCAAGTGAACTAACAGAACACTTTCTTGGACAGAGGGAAAAAAACATTGTCCCCAATATCGAAGCCTGAAGATATTGAATAAAAGGTGAAGAATAAGTTAAACAATTTGCAAGTTGGCAGGTGACCTGCTGGTTAAAGTCAGCCATATATAAGTAGGATGCAAACGCACTGTAGAAGTATACTATTTTAGTACACGCTACTGTTCAAAAGTACAACAGAAGTTGAAGTTGTTCAATTTTTGCAAATTCCTAGACATTATTTTAGAATGCAAGACAGTGTAATGTGAAATTTCATATACAAAACAATCAGCATTTCAACACGTTCAATGACATCCAATCTTATGTCTTGTCTAATGAATATTGCATATACTTAACTTTATTTGAAGTAATAATAAATCTAAAAAGGTTATCAACTAAATGATTGCTTGCAACATGACCTGATGCAATAATTATATCATCCTATGCTAAACAACAAACTCATTAGCAAAGTTGTGACTCATCGTTGGGTGACAGTAGAAATACATCTAAACAAAGAAATGTATGTACGAACTTAATCCTTCACAAATGATCCATTTGACAAGATGGATTACACCAAACTGATTAGGAACTTAAAGGAATTTGATATACAGTAGAGTTGGGATCTTACTTGCAAGAATCATAAACATCTGGAATTTGTGTAATATCAAATCGGCTGCATTAAAAATCAGCTTATAAGATTAATCTGTTGAAGTTCATGCCATACCCACAACATCTATTTATATTGATATGAGATTACGTACTCCTTTCTCTCATTGTATAGGTCTCTCTCCAGTTTCCTCCAGCGAGCAAACATTAAAAGAAATCCTTCACTCCCACAAGGCAGTCCAGCAGCAATACGTGCTACGTCTATGTTTGTTTTTCCAAGAGCCTTTGCTTGGTCATAGGGAGGAAGAACCTCGTAGGAACTTTTCATTGCAAGCTTTTCATCTTCATCTTGAGCAAGCAGTTTCACTTGTCCAGTTATCTTCTTTGTCAATTTGATCTATTCAAGAAAAATATGGTCTTCAATGTTATACAAATAATGTTATGCAAATAAACCGTACAAAGATATAAGTTAATTATAAAAAACAAAATGCTCGAAAACGTCAAGAAAGAATTTGAAGTGATGCAAGAGAAGATCATATTCACTGCCATCTAGGATTAGGGAATTTAGAATGCCAGATACAATCAGTCATAATAATAAACAAGTTAAGATCAGAGATAGCTTTGATAGTATGTTAAAAATAAAAGTATGTTGAAATATATATTATCTAAATGAAAAAACAAAAACAAACTTCTTTTTTTGGTAACGAGGAGCCGCTTGGTTAGAGCACTCGAGTCCAAAGGAGCAACCCCAAGATCAAGCCCCCTCCCACATGTAAACCCCGGGGGCGTCGGTCCCACCTTAATTCAGCCTACTCCCAGGTAAGTAGACGGGAATCAAACTCATGGCCGTGTGAACCATATTGGAACCTCCCAACTGTCCAGATCAACCGCGATGGGTAAATACAAACTTCTTACCCAACTCTCTAACTAGGGCGTGTTTGGTACACAGGAATAGGAGGGGACGGAACGCTCATTCCCACTTCTCATTCGTGCATACCAAACATGGCAACTTTTTTAGAGCTAGAAAGTTTATTCCCACTTCTCCTTCATTCTCACTTTTTGTGGGATCGGACATTTCCAAGGTGTTGGTAGGAAATGATTTATTATTAATTGTCCATACCAAAATATAATGATTTTTCACTCTCACTTTATTATCTAATAGCACCCAGGGCCGGCTTTGGGGGTGTTCCAAGTGAGCCCCCGCACAGGGCCCCTAATTTTTTTTATAATTATATTTATATATATGAAGAAATAAATGTGGACCGTCCATTTCACACCCAGCTTAATCTCAACCATCTGTTCAAAAACCCTCTTTCAAAAACACATCAGCCTCACCCCTACCCATCTTCTTCACCTATTCTCACGTACATTCTCACTCAACACCCCAGCCTAGCCAGCCCCCAAATCCAATCCCCCACCACATCCTCCTCTCTCTCCACGTCTATGCGGCTCAGGCAGTCGCGTCTTCAGCGACCGCCGCACCGCCAGCCCTCAACATTCCAGTCCAACATCTTCTTCCCAGCCCCAAATTCCAGACCCACGCGCAGTCGGGTCCTCAGCCGGACTCGCCGCCGCCGCCGAGCCCACTGTGAGTCCCTTCCTCCTCTCCGACCTCCATGCGGCGCGGGAGGCCGACCGCGGCAGATGGCCAGCCCCAATTTACGCCAGCCTCCATCCTCTCTCGGTCTCTCCGCCCTCAGCGGCTCAGCTCAGGCTGCTCTATTCAGCCTCAGTCCCGAAATCGCTGCCAGCCCCGAAATCGCCGACTTCGGTTCGGATTCAGAGTTGATCTGAGCTCGCCGACGTCGCGGTCTCTCGACTCTCGCCTGAGCTCTCTCATCTCCTCTTCTCACGTATGATTCCTTTGTTTTTTTTATTTTTTATAATTTTTCTATTGTGATTTTAGGGTTTTGTTGCTGATTTGAGATTTGATTTCTTGTATTGCAGGAAATCCAAGTGACCAAGCGGATCTTACATTTTCGGTGTTGCCGTTGCCGTAGTGCCATGCTGTCGCTATGTATTGTTCAGCCGGAGCCGGAGCTGTATTGTTCAGCCGGAGCCGGAGCTGTTCAACAGGTTGTATTGTTCTGAATCTTTTGACTTATTTTAATTTGATTGTGATATTTTTTGTTTTATTATAGAAATATCTCCAAGAAAATATCCATATGGATATGATAAACGCAAAAAAAAATTGAACAATTTGTCCAAACTCAAAGTGGAGCGCTTGATAAATTCATTGTTAGAGAAACACAAGATTTAGTTGAAAATTCAATTACAAATGATAACATTAATGATTTGGGCCTGAATGAGTATGAGAATAAAAATGTTGATGATCAAAGTAAAAATGAAAATGATAATGAAAATGAGAACCAGAATGAAAATGAGATTTATAATGAAAATGATAATGAAAATGAGTATCAGAATGAAAATGAAAATGAAAGTAAAAAATGAGAATCAGAATAAGAATGAAATTGATATTGACAATAAAAATAAAAATAAGAATGAAAATATTTTAGGCAATGAACAATCTAATGAGTCCATGATAATGAATTTGAATATTTATGATCCAAATTTGGACACCAAATCTAGAGATATATTAGTGGAAAATGACCCTATAAGAGATCTATTAGTCGAAAAAGGTCCGAAAGATAAATTAGGAAGGTGTTTTTCTTCGGCATTTTACACTAGGCATTTATCAAATTGAGAGAAATGCGATAGGGAATGCTTAGTTTATTCAAAGGATATCGATAAAGTATTCTGTTTTTGTTGTAAATTGTTTAAAAATGGTTTTAAGAAAAAATTTTTAATAAATGAAGGATTTAATGATTGGATACATCTTAGTGCTAGGCTTAAAGAACATGAAACAACTAATGAGCACATGTTTAACATGAGTACTTGGCTTGATTTACGCATAAGATTAAAGAAAAATAAAACAATCAATAAAAATATTCAAGAGCAAATTAATAAAGAGAAGAAATATTGGAAGAAAGTATTACAAAGAATAATTTCTATTGTTAAATATCTTGTTAAACATAACTTGACATTTCGAGGAACAAATGAGAGAATTTATCAAAATAATAATGAAAATTTTTTAGGCCTAATTGAAATGATTGCAGAATGGGATCCGGTAATACAAGAACATATTCGACGTATTGACCATGGTAAAATTCATTATCATTATCTTGGTCCTAGCATCCAAAATGAATTGATAAGTATGTTAGCTTCTAAAATCAAATGTGCAATAGTTTAAAAAATTAAAGAAGCTAAATATTTTTCAGTAATACTTGATTGTACTCCGGATGCAAGTCACCAAGAACAAATGACCTTAATATTACGATATGTCGATATTTCTACAAGCCCGATAAAAGTAGAAGAACTTTTTGTAGAATTTTTAAAAGTAAATGATACATCTGGACAAGGACTTTTTGAAGAATTGCAAAATGTGCTAAAAAATCTTAATCTTGATATTGATAATGTACGAGGTCAAGGGTATGATAACGGGTCTAATATGAAAGGGAGACACCAAGGTGTACAAAAAAAATTACTTGATATTAATCCTAGAGCGTTATACACGCCTTGTGGTTGTCATAGTCTTAATTTAACACTTTGCGATATGGCAAATTGTTGTGGTAAAGTAAAAGACTTTTTTGGAGTGATGCAACGCATTTATACATTATTTTCTCACTCAACAAAGCGATGGTAAATTTTGATAAATAATGTAAAAGGTTTAACTGTGAAGCCATTGTCGGCTACACGTTAGGAAAACCATATTGAAAGCGTTAAAGCAATTAGATTCCAAACACTTAAAATAAGAGAAGCACTACTTCAGTTAGCAGAAACTGTTAATGACTCCAAAATAAGAAGTGAAGCAGATTCTTTAGCAACACATGGAATTGGAAATTTTAAATTTTTATTAAGTATGATTATTTGGTACGATATATTGTTTGTTGTTAACTTAATTAGCAAATCTTTACAATCTAAAGACATGCTTATTGATATTGCTATAGATCAAGTAAAAGGATTGATTAGATTTTTTGAGGATTATAGAGAAGTTAGGCTCACACAAGCTATGGCAATTGCTAAAGAAATTGCTATTGAAATAAAAATTGATTATGTATTTCAAATAAAACGTCAAATCCGTAGAAAAAAACAATTTGATGAGAATGTTAATGAGGAGAAAACACTATCAGTTGAAGAATCTTTTAGAATTAATTATTTTTTGTATATTGTAGATCAAGCTATTGGTTCACTAAAGAAAAGGTTTGAGTAATATAAAGCATATGAAGATATTTTTGGATTTTTGTTTGGTTCAGAAAAGTTAAACTCATTAGATGATAATAATTTGAAAGCATGTTGTGATAATCTTGAAATTATTCTAAAATATAAAACATTTTCTGATCTTGATGGGAAAGATTTATTTGAAGAACTAAAAATCTTACGAAATATTTTACCAAAAGAAACAAAGATGGCTATTGATATACTGAATTTCTTAAAAATACGAAATTATTTTTCAAATGCATGTATTGCTTATAGAATATTATTGACTATACATGTTACATTCGCATCTGCAGAAAGAAGTTTTTCAAAATTAAAACTATTAAAATCTTATCTGAGATCGACCATGTCACAGAAAGACTAAATGGACTAGCTTTGATATCCTTTGAAAATGATTTTATAGATAAAATTGATGTTAAAAGGCTTAATTAGTGATTTTGCAGCTAAAAATACAAGGACAATTTTTCGATGATAATTTTTGATGCTAAAGGCTTTGATATCTGATGAAGGTAAGCACATATACAAGAGGAACATAGTATGCAAGTATTTCTTATTGTGGACAATTTGCTCTATTAGAAAGCTTTATTAAGGTGGGATTACATGTATTTATCTGATCAGTAACATTTTATTCAGGTGACTGAAGAGATGAAGAATTGACAATAGCACTTGAAAAGTATGTTAAAGACTATCCAGATGCGAAAAAACCAGGTAACATTTTAATGTCTGGTCAGTAACATTTTATTCTCTAGCATTTTAGGGATTCAAATAGAAACTTATTGATATTTTGTATATAGAGAAGTGTCTTGTGTTTACTTTTCGCACAGGGCACCTAAAATCTCAGAACCGGCCCTGATAGCACCCAAACATGAGAACGGAAATGAACATTTCATTCTCACACTAATTCCATTCCGTTCCTTACTTCATTCCATTCTCATTTGATCCGATTTCCTTGTACCAAACAAGGCGTTAGTTCTCTGAAAATAACTACGATAACAGAAACAAATTATAGAATAAATGAGGCTTCTAAATATAGGATCACAGACATTGTTTTCTCAACTACTAGACCAAAGGAAAATGGAAAGTGTAGCTTTGATTTGATCATGAACATCACCTATACATGGGGAAGAACAGTGTTCATTATCTTTATCACTGGTTATGGCATCATATACTAAGGAATCACAAAAAAATGTACTTTTCTCTGAATTATCACGAGAGTGTAAATGATACTACTGCAACACATTATTTTTTATGCTAAGGTGCAGAACAGTTTGAAGATGCGTTATATCACAAATGAGCTTTCACTTAATTTTTTAAAAATAAAAGGGCAATAATAAGAACTAAAACAAAATATATCTAAACTTCCCATATGAAGTGATGTAATGATTTAGTAATGGTGTGTGTGGAAGATTAACTTCCCCATTGCAGAAAAATAATTCCAAAAGAATATAATCTATTACCCACTTACAGCATAATTTATTTTTTATCCTTTCCCAAAGGTGTAAGGGAACCTGGTTGAAAGCAATTAAAAAGCATATGATAGTGGTTTAGTGCTTAACGTAGGAGACACTTCTAAGCACAAATGAATGGATAAATAGGATTCATGTCGTTGACCTAAAAAAATTGGGATAAAGGCTCTGCTGTTGCTGTTCCTGTTGTATTCCTTTCCAAAGTAGCTAACTGGCAACAATCTGTTCATTTTCCCAAGCGAAAGACAAACTTAGGTATCGACTTGCCCTACTGTGTGAATAGCCGTTTATTTTGTGTACAAGACTCGTCAGAGGCTTTGGTGTAGCTATGAGGGGGATTTCCCTATGGCTACAATACCCGTTGAGTCTCGCCCCCTCCACACATGTATTCAGGGACCGGGCATGACACAAATCCTGAAAGAGATTTTCATTTTGCCACCTCATATCTGATAGATATCTACATGCCCTTAGCTGGCATGAGTTTACCTCTCCAGAAACTGGCTTTACATGTTTCTAGGAAGGGCATCAATTTTCTATGGTTGACTTGACCAGAAATTTTGCTCAAACTCGTCAAGAACAGGTTATAAGTCCTAAGAACTTGGTCATTTTCTTTGATCTCTCAACTTTCAGGGCTAGCAAACATAAGCACACTAGTATGTAGCCAAATGGGTCCACAGATAAAAACTTTGTTCTCATTTTTTGTCATATTGACACGTTTCAATAGGATAAATTTAGTTCACACATTTCCACTGGTAAACCCCAATAAGGAAAGAGCCAAATCAACAACGCATATCAGGAAAATCACAAGTACTGTTAACTTACGGTTCATATATGATAGAACGAAAAACGAACCCACGTGTTGCGGGCCAAAGATTCTGGCAACAAAAAGCATAGAAAATAGACATATATGAAGAAAAATACCATTTTAGGAAGAAGTTCAGAAGCATTCGAAGGAAGGCCAGCACCATCAACCATCCACGGATACTCTGCCCATCCATGAAGCTTAGCCTGCATAGTATTAAAACAATAAATATAAAAACAATCGTATAATAAAAGTGAAAATTTCCAAATGGCAATCTAGAGAATTAATCTGAAGAACAATAAGATCAAAGCTACCAGATTTTATAGAGTAGAAATATGTTAGTGAAAAGTTTAATCTGTTTAGTTCCTTGGATATATACACATAGGCTCACTTCATTTGTCAACTCTGTCTCAATTAATTATAAACTCTATGGATTGCAAAAGCAATAAGGCAGGTTTCCACTCCCAAACTTTAAAACTCGCCGTATAGAGACATGTGCAAATCCACCGAAAGAGAGATACATATACACATATGATGCAGCACAGTATAGAGAAATCTTACTGCCATAACATCAAACAGAAATACATGGACTATTGTGTGGAAATAAAATATAGGTTTTTTCATGGTTTGATAAAGAGGGTTATACAAAGATAAAATATAGTTTTGCATGGTTTGGCATAGAAATATTTTTTTTTCAAAAATGTCCACAGGGAAGCTAGAACTGAACCCATTAAATCCATTAACTCTGAGAACAACACAGATGCATAGGTGAGACAGCCAATGAATTGCTCTCTCAAGTAATTCATTCTGAGTCTAAGTACTCTAGCATCAACTATGAAGAAATCCCAATGGGATTTTTCCCTGCTAAGTGATTGGTGTGTAGTGGAAGGGGATGCAACAGAGTGGAAGGATCAGTCTAGTGCTCTAGAGGTCAAAATACGTGTCAGCAGCTTAAAAACGAAAACAAGAACAAAAGAACTGAAAATTAAGAATAACAAACAAACTCAACTTCGTCCACATCAAACCTTTATCAAGTTCTTCTTTATTATCCAAGAATGGGTTATTGGTCAGTGCAGCTCATCCACATCCTTCATGCAAGCAAGAGCTATGTGGCTTTTACTTCCCCCCTCAAACAGGGACTTGTTAAGCCTATCTCCTTTTGTTTTCTTCTATCTTTCCTCTAGTCTCAACGCCAGGATATAATTCTGTTCTTTCGTTTTTCCGCACTCAGTCCCCACTTTTCTCCCCACTTTTCTGAGTGGCAGTGAAGAGCTCCTGTGGAGTGATGGGAGTAATGGAAGTGAATTTTTTTTCTCTAAAGCATACTCTTTTTCCACCCTTTCCCACTGCATCAGATCAATCAGACTCCAGTACAGAGACTTGCAACAACTTGTATGACAGATATTATTCCCCTTTCTATCCTCAGTTTTCAAAATTACAAACCCTAGTCTCCAACAACTCTTCTTAAAGTATGTTTTTTCATATAAATGAATATCTTTTTTCTAGTCCATCATTTTCCTTCCTCTGCTTTTTGTGAGTTGTATGTCTTCAATTGATTAAGTAATAACCAAGCAGTTATCAATATGTGAGCATCTTAATGTCATAGATAGAATACTTAAAAGACAATTTTAGTAAATTATATCATAAATAATATACTTTAATGGATGACAGACCTTTGCTTCTTCCATCTCAGTACTTGCATTTTCAAGGCCATCCAACATGGAAGAATCTTTGCTAACAAGAGAAACCTGGTAAAAGAGTTGAGTGTAAACTAAGAATCAAACAAAAAAGGGGGAAAACAGGACATACAATGGATTGTTTGATTTAAACCAGAATGGGAGTTAATTGTCCTTCTAAATCAAGAAGGCCTTTGGCAAATGCAGCAGCAGACATCTGCAAAAAAAACATGGTCTAGATAAGAGCTATGCTTCATGGATGGTGCATCAGTAAAGACCATCCCATACCAAATAACTTTAAAACCTATTACGAAAAATAAGCTCACAAACATCCTAAACTAAACGTGCAATTAAAACAAGCAGGAGTTGGGCATGATAATTGACTTTTGATCAAAATCATGCATTTCCAGTGTCCTACCTGGACACGACCCTCATCTGAACTGTAAATCTTCAGGTCATGTCGGTAAGTACTGTGAAGACGAAGCAATCCTGTTCCTTCACCTAATGGTTTCAAGATAAAATAAAGATCTTAGCCATAAAGCAGTAAGAGTGGAACATATTTTTTTGGAAAATAAAATACTATTACAACACTCATGCTCTTCAATTTGACTTGGTTTATAACTGTCTTAGTGACCATAACAAACCGACGTCAGCGGGTGTTGGTATATATATTACTTACCAATTTGACCATGTTTGTTCTTAGCAAAGCCTCCACCACACATTATAAACTATCATTAAATCACAGAAATAAATACTGATTGATACTGTACAGATCTGCCTCAGTGTTCTTTGAAGCAATGTTTGAAAAAGCTTTTCTAGAACTCGCTTCGAAACTCGCTTCACAACTTATTGAAGGGTAAACGCTTCAAAACTCAAGAGTGAAGCTACTTATCTCTTGAAACTTACGCCTCATGGCTTAAAGCATAATTGAAGTTTGAGCGTCGCGCTTCATAAGGTGCTTTTATTTTGAAGCACATGCTTAAGACAAAATAGTAGGGACATAAAAGAATCTTTGACTAACATTAAAATGCCCCTATATATTTTCAATATGACTATGTGAGTGTAAATAAAATATATATGTTATGAGTGTAGCTTAGTTTATTATGATTCATTTGTATACTTCACATATTTAATTGTTATTTACTACTCAGGACATGAATGTATATATTTGTAATTTTTACGCCACTCTATATTATATGATCATGCTTTTTACAAATTTAAAATTAAAATATATTTAAACTAATGAAGCTTACGCTTCACGCTTTGAAGCTTACACTTCGCTTCACAAACAAAGGGTCTAGTGCTTCGCCTTGCGCTTCCACTTTTCTAGACATTGCTTTGAAGTGCTAATACACGGTAATAAGATTGTCTATGGTAGTGGATATTTTACATCATCTTGGTGCAGTGAACTAATAAATTTCTAAATTATCTCTTTTTCGAACCCAAGTATTTGCACTCAAATAAGATGATGCATTCACTCAAGATAGAAGGTTTAAGTTAACAAGGTACTACTAAGACTATTGTATCAGCAGCATCCACCAAATACAGCAGCGTAAGCATCTCTAGAAATTACATTAGAGATTTATTAATCTGTGCACCAAAATGAGACTTCATTAAAAAGCTTCTGCTCAGCAAAATGAATCAACAAATTCTCATAATAAGCAGGCAAGTAGATGAAGAATAGTTACTATAACATAAGACATCATATTGGTAGCCATGTGAATGGAACAGAAAAAGATAGTGTAGTATGAATCAATGAAAAATAGGCTATAGGAATAACCTGGATACATGTTGTTTCGGAAATATCTTCCCAACTCTTCAGCCTGCAGAAGATTTGAAGACTGGATTAGCTATCAATATTCATTATCCTGATGGAGAAAATAATGGTGCCACTGAAAGCAAGACTCAAATTAAATGCATATCTTCATAAAGCAAGAAGTAGAGAGAGGAGAAAATTGAAAAAACAAAGCACGTGAATAATGAGATAACTACTACATCTTAGGGCTTCTTATTGACCTACTTGCTTTCATGTATCTGGATCATTCTTAGATCGCCCAAGAGCAACAGACAAAGGACCATGACGACAGCAGAATAGAGGACATAAAATGAAGATAAATCTACCTGCTTTCTTCCAGCATGTGTAAGAACACCTCCATATTTAAGAACCATCAAAGCTTCAATAGGTCTCTCTTCCTCACCATCACCATTACTTTTTGGAACTTTAACCCATTTTAATGGTTTTAGTTGTACCTTTCTATAAATACCTGAGAAATGCCCACCCTGGATAACATAAAAGTTAATCACATATCAGAAACAAAGAAACATGGTTTGGAGAATATTTGTCTTTCTTCAACCAAATTCTTAAAAATTGTTGTTTCCAGAAGGAGCAAAGTAACCAAGAATAGTAAGGCGAAGGAATCTAACAGTTTCAGGTAGAACTAGTAATTCAAAGGAAACTTATCTCGTATACCTCTTCAAGAACTGCTTTAACTTGACGAAGTTTCTCAGCATGTTCAAGTTCTTCAGCATCACTATCACTTTCACGACCAGACCTAGTGCATGTACTTAATTTCATTATCGGTTACCAAGTCACATTAAAATTTACAGTTTCAAGTTACAAACAAGAAATTCCTACACAGTAAGAATTAACATTCCAAATAAGTGCAGTTACATAGGTAGTGATATAGGGCTAACAAAGTTAACATCAATGATTTCACTTCAAAATTTAGCAGACCATGGATAATTAAGCATATATTTTGGATAAGCAGAACACTATAAAATGGTTACCTGGTACAAGGAACTAGCATATCTTTTGGATAAGCAGAACACTATAAAATGGTTACCTTGTACGAGGAACTAGCATTCTAGTTGCATCTAAGAGGTCTTGTAACTGAACAGCACTTTTGAGCTTTGTCTGTGACAAAGGTAACGATGTTAAAATAATATCACTTACTATTTTATGAAGTTTAAAATAAATTTGCCTCGAATTATCATAATATATGGAATAAACAACCTCAGCTCTAGGTCGGTGACCATTGTACTTTAACATCAGATTCAGTAGCTTCTCTTCTGTAACTTTCAACTTCACCTTTTGTTTAGGTGTCCGGTCGCCGCTGTGAGCAACCACATGCAACTAATTAGACTGCATGTAACACACATAACATACATTCACATAAAAACATGCCTACATACATATTGCACATACATTCATATATGGGAAAATTGGGTATGATGTGGCAGCTCATTTTGCTAATGAGCTACCAAGAGGATCTACAATGTGGTAAGGAACACCCTACAAGTCACATCGGATGGTTGGTCCTCACCCTTTTTATCTCATGTCTCAAGTACCTCAATTAGCACACAAAAAAGTCACAACTCTTGGTAGCTCATTCAGCAAAATGAGCTGCAACTCACAACTATAATACTCGTGTGTGCCTGCACGTGCAAATGTGTGTGTGCGGGCACAGGCATGGGCAGGGTTGTGGGGGTGGATGCATGCATGGGTGGCTGGGTGGATGTACGTGTTTTGTGTGTACATGTGTCCGTGTGCGTGTGCGTGTGCGTGTGCATGTAATATGGAACTGACAATTATTTATAAATACTTCAACACGTTTGACTGTTGGCTTTCTCCAAACTCATGCAGGCAACATACTCTACGGACATATTGAAGGACAGTCACATTAATCTAAATGCAAATCTAAAATTAAAATGGCTTTGAGTCCAATTCTAAAAATTGTATAGCCAACCTCTTTTGTCCCAAGTCATACAAACTTGTGCTCCAGCACCCAAAAAAGAGGCGAGCAGACATACACACATAGTGATAGAAGAGAGAGAGCAATATAAAGAAATGCACACAAGTCCTAGAGAAAGAGAAAAATAGTCCTTACTGACGAATAACAGCTATAACACATCGCAGTTCTTCAGATTGCCCAAATGTGCCAATTATTCCACTTCCCTGGCGTGTTAAAGGCTCACAAGGTGGGGTCGGTTCATTCATTTTCCAAGGGAGAGTTGGAGGAATAGTAGATGAAAGATGAGGAGCTTTGGCATCGAGAAACATTTTTCTCAATACACATGCTGCATCATCATAGTACCTATTTTTTGAAAGAGTAGTTTAGTACTGAAAACCATATTCTCCAAACATATTTTACCTAAACCAATTGTTTAATGAGGAACATGGGTATGCTTGGTACCAAGCACCAAACTTTGTGCTTGGTAGTGAGGTGGCTCATTCCCATCTACTCACTTAAAGGGGGGACCACATTCACATAGGTGCACATTGGTTTAATAACCATGAGTGGATTAGAATGTGGCACTTCACTACCAAGCACCTAGTTTGTCCTTGGTACCAAGCATATCCATTTTTCTCGTGTTTAATTTCCATGTCATAATTCAACACTGTATATAAAGCGTTACATCCATAGTTACTTGTAAGAGTTCTTCACAAAGCTCCACCCATTGACATCACACACATAAGATCTTCCTTCACATCTTAAGAGATCGAATCCACAAACCTGAAAGAATTTTTAAATCAACAGAAAAGCAATTTAGAAAGTTGAATGAAATCTCAAGCAAAAAAGAAAAGTGCACCATAGCAAGATTACATCAAGACAGGTAGTTCAATCTCTTTCCAAATCCCCTTAACTTATTGCAGCCTATTATGGACATAATTCTCCAACCATGTTAGATTGTTTTACAGAGAGACCAGACAAATTAACAGAACATATTAACTATTCTTATTCAGGTCATGTATTGGGTTACAAAGGATAGCCAGGCTAAATAATTATGACCTAGGAATCATTAATGGAACATGTTATACTTTAAACATGTAAAGAAGATAATATTCACCACATCGTATAAGACAAAAATACAAATTATGTAAGTTATATATTTGAAGTACTTACCTCAAAACTGGACCATGTAATATGAGAAGTCATCCACTGCTTTCTTCACAATTACAAAGTAAGAATTTACAGTATCAAGATTCACTATGATAAACTTAAGGGGCTTATTGTCGAGAGGTTGCAAATTGTGACTTTCAATTTCCATAACTTTGTAACCATCATAAAGCAACAGAATCAAGCTAAAATTCAATGAACTAATTTCTGTCCATCACGAGAACAAATCGTTGACACAATTTGATTACTACAAAAAATCAGTAAGAGATCTCAGTAATGGAATTGCTTAAGACAGCCCACATCTTGTCTTCCAATAAATCTTAATTTTCTTTAATATGTGAATGTTTACAATGGACACTGATCTTACCATTTAACATGTAATTCTTTTAACCCCCCCCCAAATACTAGAAAAAACCTACGTGGCATTTGAAGGCAAAGTGCAAAATCATGTTCCACGTTATGCTCAAATATCAGAACCACTTTACCTTAATGATTATGAATGCTGGGTAGCAAAACCAGACTTGAAGCAATTTCAGCACCCACCAAAGCATGTGCACGTGTGTGTCATAGGGGTGAGACAAGTCATACGTTAAAACTAAATAATAGGAATTTAATCATTCGAAATAAAAGAAAGTGTGTGCGAGATTATATTTGGATAAATTTACCCCTTGCCTAAATGCAAGACATACGTCCCTTGCCATTTGCTTCTCACCAGGAGTTAACAGTACAGGATACCTGACCTGCAAACAAAAATGCTTCATTTACAAAGTGCAAGTTGGTGAAATAAAATATAATATAAAAGTTCTACTAATTATTGACTGAGGTTAACTAGTAAACTAGATCAAGAGAATGTTTGAGGAGAAAGAATAAAGCTGTCAGTCCATGCATCCATTATTCAACAGAAACCGCTAGTATTCAAACAACTGCAGCATGTGGGAACAACAAAGTATAGGGCCACAAAGACAATAAAAGGTAGTAGCTTACTTCTTTCCCGTCAGGATTCCTCATAACAACACCATCAACAACTGGAGACTTGCGTGCTTCTGCATGTGCATATTCTGGACCAACAGTATATACCTACGTCAAATATTTCTCATCTTCAGTGCATGATGTATATAAGGAAATATGAGTGTTCAAGTTTGGTAAGTAACAACAGGGCATAAAAAATACGTTACCAACCAACAGCTAAATAATTTCATAATTCATCAAATAGGTTAAGAACTCCCTCAAGATCCGCAGTAGGGGGCGTTTAAATAAATTGTAATTGAAAAAATTTTGTTTCTCTCTTGGGGGGAAAAATAAAATCAAACAAGCAAGTAAATTGCAGTGAAATGGTATAATCATATACACAAGCTTAAATATTGAAATCAACATATAAACTGGCACCAAGAGGGGATTATATAAAAATGACAGATGGATGGGCCAAATCATACACAGAAATCACTTACCTTAACATCGGTTCCCCCAGTAGACATAAATTCTTCATAAATGTAAGACCCCTCGCGCCTCACTCTTCTAACATCAGGATGGAATTCACTAGACCGATTTCCAACCTGTTATAAACATTACTGGGAATTTCATAAATAGTGTTGAAATTAAAGGGGTGAAGCAATGTAAATGAAGATATTAACAGATTACAAGACAAAGATAAATATAAAGTCTTTTTACCCCACTACCATAGTCAATAACAATTAAAAACTGGAAAACAAATCGATCGCAAAAAAGGAAAAAAAAATAAGCACTACAGCATATTATACACCTATTACTCATAAATCAGTAATTAGTCAACAGAGTCGCACTTATTTTACACCTTTAGAGTTTTCGTATAATTTATCATTCTATAACATCAGAGTTGACACAAAAATCAAAATGAAAATTTAAGTTTTACCTTGCGGAACAGTTCTTTCATCCCCCCACCAGCAGAACTAGGGTAGTATATCATGATACTGTGATTGTCCCCTATAAAAAAATAATGCAGCAAGTTAGACTTACATTCTGCATGAACACAGATTATTCTGAAGAATGTAACTTTGCATAAACTTTAAGAAGTCCATAGTTGAAAAAAATCATTAACAACAAATAGCATACAGATGTTAACTTTAACACCGCGATACGAGACTCATTAATATACTTGTTCCACTAACAAAGAAATAGACAGAAACATTCTTAAGAAGGGATATAACTAGCAAGTTTAGATACAACTTGGAACAAGATCTTTGGCAGGTGCTGTGGATGTCGAAAGAGCAGAAAAGTAGGCCAGGATTACACTAGTAGAAAGCAATGTTAAGAATGGAAATATAAATTACAAGTTGGAACTGTTTGATGGATTCACAAAGCAAATTGTCATTATAGACAATGTGAAATTTGATTTGCCATAACTTACAATGGCCTGTCATCTGTTCTCTCTCTCTCTCTCTCTCTCTCTCTCTCTCTCTCTCTCTCTCTCTCTCTATAT